TGTCTATCAGTAAGAGATCTTCTAGTCAGAGGGGATGGGTAATGAAGGCTAAAGAATTTGATTTGATTTATTTCGAACATGTGAAACAATAATACAAAAATAATAATAATAATAATGAAATGAAACAAGAGAATTATGATACTGTACAAACTTAAGCAGTATCAAATTAATAAATAAGAATATTATTGACTTACAAATTATATATAAACAAATATATAGCTAATTACACATCCGAAAAAGGGTGGGAAGAAGTTTACACTTAATTAATCCAACCCCTTCTCCCAAAAACGAAATGATTAACTTCTTTTTTTTGTCTAAATGTACATACAATATACATTTAGAATTATAAATAGAGTATATCATTATTACTGCAATATATATATGTATTATTCTTTTACGTTGTATGTCATATTTAATAAGACACATATAAAAGACTATTTTTTTACATCAACCATCCAAACAAAACAAACCATAAAAACAACAAATAAATAAATAAACAAATACATAAAAGAGGTCAAAGGTAATCAAGAAAAGATCAAATAACAACCAAATAAATAAATAAATAAACATCCAGTTATCATTCAACAATTTCATCCCTGTATCTTGTGAAAATCATGTCCTTATACCTTTTTTTAAACAGTTGTACGTGAGGACATCTCCTGAGCTCCTCATTCAAAGGCTGATCATTCCCTAAGCAGTTGGTCCCTAGCATTGTGCACCACATAAAGAATGAAACAAGTACCTGGGGTCGCGCATACACTCGGTCCTGAAGTGCCACAGCAGCTCCTTGTCCTCCGGGCTGAGGGGGTGGAGGGGGTCGGTGTTCACGATGGCTGCAAACTGCTTCTTCAGATGGTTGGGCATCTCTCTCTGGCCGCGCTCCCCCTCAGCCTCCTCGCCGCCCCCGCCCCCGTCCCGACACACGTCCCGGCTCTTGGGCAGCACCACGGGGTAGCAGTACTTGTCCAGCAGGATGGCGATGGCCATGGCGGACGCCTTGTCGGGGTTGGTGGCCGAGGTGAGCTTGTCAGCGTTGATGCTGCTGCTGCTCTCCTCGCTCTTCTCCGGCATCTTCCACATGTGCAGGATGAACTCGCCCTGGCGCAGCAGGGAGCGGTGGTCGATCAGCAGCAGGTTGACGTAGTACAGGAGACGACTCTTGGTCTTTCCTGAAAGAACCACACACGCACACAGACGCTCTGTTATCACCATGTTGAACTCTCTACCCACTCAAATCAAAGACATACATATACCACCTTTACAGCTCTCTTAAAAACATGGTTCACTGAAATCTACACCTGCACACACTAGTCTGTGTTGAATATGGCGTGTGTGTTACATGTTGTGTTACATGGTGTGATCATGGATGTTGCCCCTTGTTTCTGTTATGTGATTGTGATGTGCTTAATGTGACATGTACTGTATGTAGTAACGTGTATTCTTCTCTTTTATCTTTTGCAGCAACAAAACAGCAACAACAGCTGGAAATGAGCAATGTTGGCTAAAGCTGCCCCATTTTACTGTTTTTGTGACAGTTGATCAATAGGGACTGTCCACGACACTATAAACAAATAAACTAAACTAAACTGCAATAAACCGTATGTAATTGTGTCTTAATATACATTATTTAATTACATATTCTGTTGTACATATCATATTCTATTTACATGTATATAGACTTCTTGCACTATTTTTTTTTTTTATTATATATGTTGCATTGTTGGAGGAGCTCAGGTCAGAAGAATTTCATTGCCAAAACCGTTGAATTGAGATTTGAATTTGACTGTCAACATGGCGCAGTTACACAATGTTAGCGAACCTCACCTTCATGGCTGCCTGTTGATGGAGCAGTATCCTGGTAGGACAAGGTCCCCTTAGAGGTTGGGGTTAGGGGCTGCTTCCCACAGATCACCTGGGACCAGAGCCGGTAGTTAGTGGAGAAGTCAAATGGCCGACATAGTTCTTGCATTCCCCCTTACCCGTCCTCTGATGGAATTGTTACCTGCAGGTTCAGGCGTGCTCCTTTCGGCAGGTCCCTGATCTTTATGTTAAACTCCAACCAGCAGTTCCACAGCACTTCTTCGTTGAAGTTCTTAGAGGACGTCCTCTCCTGAGAAACAAAAACACAGGGTTGAATCCGCTGTACAAAATGAATGTGTGTTTTTCACAAATGCTCATATGAAAAAACATGTCATGGTGGACAATGTTGGCGCAATTTCCCTTTAAAGGATTGACATACTGTATATGGTTGTTTTTTCGTTGTGAGCTTCGGTTCACCTGCGGGATTCAAATGACCTTCCTGCAGTAAATGTTAACAGGAAACACCGCTGCACTTTTCTTTTATTTCATCTGATGAATATCTGCCTCACAGCTTCCTCTCTTTCGGCTGAATAAATTACTGCCAATGCAAAGTTAACAATAAAGAACTTAAAGAGGCCTTATTATGCTTTTTGGGATTCGTCCCTTTCCCTTAGTGTGTTATTTAGCTTGTTCTGCATGTGAATGGTCTGAAAAGGCTCAGATCCGAAGTTCCTCTCTGGATTACCTGAGCTAAGAGCTGCTGGCCGTGGAAGATGCTGGCTTCTATGAAGACGATGAGCCCTGGGACTTTGGGGAGGGATGGGATGTCGATCCCCAGCACCTTCACTCTGAACTTCCTGTTGCAGTCCCACATGGAGATGGTAAACACGCGCTCATGGTCCTTCTCATCGATGGTCAGCTGCTCATGGGTACCTGGCAAAGAAGCGTGCATAATGTACGTGCTCCAGCATCAATTCCACACAGACGGCGTGTTTAACCTCACAGCAGCTTACCTGCCACTCCGGTGCAGTCATCCACTTGAGCCCAGTTCTCCTTCTGAACCAGGTCCAGCTCTGGATCAGGGGCGTCCTCCAGAGCCAGGTGGATCTCCTCCCCGTTCTTCAGACACTGACGGACCCAGTTGAAGTCCTGCAGAGGTTTATCCCCGTACAGGTACTCCTCCCTGAGCGAACACACTTAAAACGTTATCTTTTTCAAACTACCACCAGTGAATTACTCATCAATGCACACTTTGTTATATTGTCTTAATAAGCGAGTAGCTACCTTCCACACACACGGAGCACAAAGTCTGCCTCACATGTGTCCTCAGGAATTCGCAGCAAAGCTTTCTTACTCGCCGTCTTAGCGAAAAAGCTCAGCAGTACCTGAACAAGATGGAAATGTTACAGTGACAAGTTGTAAGCTAGTGAAAGGTGTGAATATGCAGCTCTGTGTACCTGTGCTGGCGTGTCACTGATGGACACTTTGATGGTCTGGCTGGCCGTGCCGATGTGGATCACCAGCAGGATTTTACCGTTACTGACCTGAAGGAGGAGGAGCCACAGTTAACTCCAGTACCAGACAAAAGTTTGGACAAGCCTTCTCATTCGAAGGTTTTTATTTATTTGAAATAAATAGATTTCCTCATGAAGCTGACTGAGAGAAGCCAAGAGTCTGCAAAGCTGTCATCGAGGCAAAAGAGGGCTACTTTGAAACAAATTAAATATAAATCACATTTTGTTTGTTTAACACTTTTCTGTTTACTACATAGTTCCATATGTGTTGACTGGCACTGTAAATGAAAGCTTTACCCACAGGAAAGGTGGCATGAAGGGCAAAATAAAGCAAAAGGATAAAACCACTGAACTCCACCATCAACCTTCCACACACACCTTGTTGAGCAGGCGCTCCGGCAGCACCTTGCGGGTCACCCAGGGGTCCATGGAGTAGAGTTTAGGGTCTCGGTCAGACAGCTCGAGGCGCCGCGGGGTCAGCAGCTTCCTGCGGGTGAACTCCAGCTCGTCGTCGTGCACGTTGCTGACGTCCGTCACGTCGTAGGCGATCAGGTAGTTTAGGTATCGCTGGTACTGCAGGGACTCGTCTGAGGGCTGGGGGCGGGGGAGCAGCTGGATCCGCCCCACCTCTTTCTTCAGGGCTTCAAAAAAACAACAAATGTTTTACATCATTTCATACTCACATTGGGAATTCACTCTGTCGGCGGATGCTACCTCTCCAGTAGCGGATGCAGTCCAGCGTCTGGAACACCTGGTGCTTGTCGTAGATCTCACACACGTTGCCTTTCTTCTGGTAGAGCAGGATGCAGTGGTCCGGGGAAAACCTCTGGTAGAAGTCCGGACAAAGGTTCAGAGTCACCGCCTTCAGCCACACCTGAGCTTTCACCTGCAAACACCACACAATGATATCATGTTTGTTAAAGATCTCCTGTCATGCTATTTGTAGGCATATATTATGGGTCTCTATATAAAAACATGTCTATGATGTGATCACCCATTCTAGCCATGCCTCATATCCCTCTATTTCAGCCTTGTTAGAGAAATGCTGATTCTGGGTCCTTAGCTTTAAAGGCCACATGTCATGCTTTTCTGGTTATTACCCGTCCCCTTGTGTGTTATGAAGGTTTTTCTGCATGTAAACGGTGTGCAGAGTCAAAACCCTCAAAGTACACCCTGTAGCGAGTAAAACTCTAAAACAGAAAATACCTCCCCAAAACGCCTCGTTGGTGAAACGTCATCATGACGTCATCATCCATTTGATTCTTCCGGGTACGTGCTTACGAAAGCACGTACCCGGAACTAAATGGGCCAATCCGTGGAGCCGTTACGTTACGTCTGCGGAGCCGTTACGTTAAGCCCCCGCTGATTGGTCCAAATTGACCAATCCACACACTCAGTGCAGGCAGCCCTGCTGATTTCTCCTCCCTGGCTGCAGGCTGATAACAGACAGTTGGGATCGCGCGAAATTCTCTCTGCAGACCCATTCTCACAGCGTTTATCAACCTATAAACCTTTTTCTTACTCAATATCAAGCCACACTTATTGTTTTTATTTCGGCTGTGACTTTGTATGTGTTCAGGTTGAGTTTGGCTGTGTTTGGCTGTGTATCGCTAAACAAGGAAATCACGGAGGGGGGAGGAGCTGCAGCGAGCCGTTTAGTGGAGAAAGTGAATACTGCTGAATACACATACTTTACAGAGATAGAGATGCTGTATGCGAAACCAATGTGAGTTTGGAAAATTG